ATCATTGTGATGCTATAGCTACAGACCAGTTACTACATATTAGGTAATTGCCCCCTTTATTTTAGAACTGCTTTGGAAATGAAGGGTAAGAATTCAGACAATGGAGCTGAATCCCAAATTATGCTCTCCAGACATTCCATTACACAATTTTAATTTTGCTTAACCCACTGTCTTTAGGAATACAAAGAAAACAATTTAATTTTGACAGTCTTACTCTAATACACAAAATAAAATATGCCATGTCTGATTTTGAGTGTGTGTGTGATACACCTAGGTATCTAGTGCTGAAGTGATGAGGAAATTATGGGTATTCACCTTGCTTTCTTTCTATTCTGCTTGATGGTAGTGTATGCTCAAAGCATGGAACCCATCTTTGCATGGTGAGCTCACTGCTGTATGTAATCATGTGTAGCTGAACTTCTTGGTTGTCTTATTTGAGTCAGTTCTGAGTATCAGAAAACCCTGCATCTGTAGACTTAAGCAACTGCAGTTCAAAAGTATTTGGGAGATTTTGCACTGTACTCAACATGCACAGACTTCTTTTCTTGTTGTTATGCCCTAAAAAGTGCAGCATGCCATCAATTTGCACAGCATTTCCATTATATTAAAATTATACGAAAGATGTAATTTAAGAATCAAAGTTGAAGGCAAAAAATGGACCATTTAATATAAAGGCTTGGAGCTTCTGGACTTGGTATTTACAGGAGTCCTAGGGCCAAATCCCCTTTGGGTACCAAGAGTTCACATTATTTCCTTGAAGATTGCTATGTCTGCTGCCAATCCTTATTCCAGGAGGAAACTGTAGAGGAGACGTGATTGAAATTATTTAGCCTTAAAAAAAAAAGGTGCTTACGGGCTTTTGCATTCACCCTAGATCTTGCGTGGGTTGGTAGAGAACCCTGCATTACTTGAAGGGCCCTGTGTGTAAGTTCCCAGGTGACTCCAAAGGTGACGCTCTGCCTCTGGGCTCTGCTGCTGTGAGCCGGCATCCCTTCTGAAGGCTAGGCTTTGCCCCATTTGCTTCTTTGTAGGTTTTTTGTCTCTGAGTCTGAGGTAGGCCAGCTTTGGATAGGGGAAAGAGAGGCACCTTACATGGTGGCTGGAGGCAGTGCAGCCACAGAGCGGTGTGAGACAGCTGAGTGTGATGGGATTGCTCAAACAGTAAAAACCAAGGGTATCCAAACTGCCTGGGACCAGCACAACTGGCCAAGTCCCCCATTAACTGTGCTATGCTTCAGTATGGTACCTTACTGTTTTCCTTCCAGAACTGGATATTCCCATCGTGCATCTCATTCTATGACACCCCCTCAACTCCATATAAGGATAGAAAAGTGTAGCAAACCCTATTCCAGGAAAACCCCACCCCTTTCCTGGAATCCCTCACCTTATTTCATGAATGATCCTCCCCTCTATAAATGTTTTTCTGTAAAACTGAGTGGTCCAAAATACTTGGTGTTATTACATTCTTCTGAGAAGCCCTCACTTCCTCTTGGGGGCTAACGTTTGCTCTGTAAGGGAACTTCTTTCTAATTCTAATTCTCCCCCCCCCCACCCCCATTAATTATTTCTCTGATCATGACAGGAAGTAGGAAGCACTAGATAGAAGTGACAGTTTGGTGCTGTCAGAGACCTTCCTAGTCTTCATCAACCACAGCAACTTTGCTGTTGAAAATGCTCACGTGTATAGTGATAAAATGCTGTCTAGAATCCCAAACACAGGGAAACTGTTAAGTGCCTTATAGAGGAAGTATGCACATTCGACTTTGTGTGCATATGACTTCAGACATGTATGGCAGGCTGTGAGTTCAGTGGAAATTGATCTGTAATGTGTATTAAATAGGACATCCTTAAATAGAAACACACATGGAACAGGTTTATGTATTGATTAGTCGATGAACGTTTTTCAACCAGAGGCTCACAACAATACTGTGGTAGTCATGGAGACTTTTCAGTGAGTGTACCATGATGAATGATGAAAACCACTGAACTCATTTCTTTTTACTTTCTTATTCCCATGGTGACAGTACCAATCTGGTATCAATTCAAAGCTGATGGAGCTGTATGTGTATTTATGCACATATATGCATGTCTCTGAGTGTATTTGAGCTGTGGCTTGCTGGTATCAATATGCAATACTGATTCCTCGTTGGAGAAAATTCTCTCTCTCTCTCTCTCTCTCTCTCCCTCTCTCTCTCTCTCTCTCTCTCTCTCTCTCTCTCTCTCTCTCTCTCTCCACAAAGCCACAAAGCCATTTTCCCCATTTTAAAACCAAAAGTCTTCTTAGGTGATGGCTACCTATGACATTTCTATGGAGTCATTTTTGTATTTCATATCTTTGATCTAGGACAGAATCCTATTTTATCTTTTACATTCCTTAGAACAGAACTTTACAAGAATCCTACATAAGGTTTGCTCATTTCTGGTGTTGTGGAAGGGATCATGAGGATGGTCCTGAGAAAAGGGACATTAATCATATCATCAGGATCTCAGTTACTTTTGTTGCTGTTTTTGTTGTAGTTATCTATGATTCACTCAATATACTAAGCTATTCTTGAGGATACTACCTCCATCTCTCTAGGAGCTGTAGCTATTGGACTACTTAATCGTATTTGTTGTTTCAAGCAGGTAGATGTTAGTGAGCTCTTCTCATAACTGCATGGACTCGTTATTGTACTTTCCATTTGTAACAGAGTGACAAAGTCTCCTAGATTATCTGGGACATACAGCCTCCAGACATTCAGTTAAATATGCTCAGCTACCTAGGCACAGTTTCTTCAACCCACAGATGCTTCACCAGCACTTTATCTGTCACTGAACTACCAATTTTTCTGTTGCACATTCTTATTCCCAGAAGGTTATCTGCCCATGGAATTGAGCACCTGCTCTGCCACAGGTGGGTGTTTGGATTGACCTTTCAAATAGAACTGCTTCTGTCAGAACTTTCAGTACAGAGAATAAAGCACAATGCCATGTTCCCAGTGTGACACGGTGTCACTATGTGACTCCAAGTGAACAAGTGAGAGGCAATTCCTTTAAAATGAATCCACCCAGCCAGCAACCTCCTCAGCACTGGGAAAAGACCAAACTGTCTGCCTCAGCTGGTTGCTGAGCTACTCTTTATAGAAAATAGAAGCCAGAGGAGATAAAAAACGAGGAAGGAGGATACTGTAGACTAATAAGGAGAAAAGACTCTTAGATGCTTTGGCAATTGTTTCATGCCTTTTAAACCCAAGAACCCACCCATAAATTTGGGGTATTTTGTTATTTCAGTATTATTATTGTAAACCAAGATTTCTCTGTTGATCTAGCAACAGAATTAACTCAAATAATCAATTTCTATCCTAATTAACAGAAAATTATGTGAGCTAAGTGACATCCGGGGTGTTGCACTAATGGATATCTTTTCTTGGGTAAACAATTGATTTTCTTTGTATTGGTTCACTCGTCTAGCATAGATAACCTTTAGTCCATTCTAGTTCTTTCATTTTATGATTCTGTGATTCTTTTTTTCTTCCAGGAACAATGAACAACATATTCTCCTTACTGAAAGTCATCTTTAAATTACTGCCTTAACTGTGGGATGAGACTGGTTTTTAATCTCTCATTTGAATCTCTGTGCTGAATTGCAGAAAGTAGGTGTTTGAAAGCATACATTTTCGTATTGATTTCCTTCCTGTTTTTTTCCTTCTGCTGTTAGCCTTCCTCTCAATAGATGGTGCTCTTTTCTCAGAGACATATTCCTCACCCAAAGATCAGAGGAATCAGTCTTACTTTAAACAATCATTAATTAAAGAAATCAGACAAGCAATTTGCAGTACCTTGGGAACAAAGGGATAATGAGGGAAATGATCTTTCAATGACCTGAGCACTCTGTTGAAGCCTGTGACATGTGTGCTGGATAGGTAAAGCAAATATTGTAACTAAACATGAAAGTGCCAAGCTCATGATGCCACATGACCCCACTGGGAAGAAGGACTTAAATCAGGAGCCATTTTAAAGTGCTGGGATAGCCATCTACTTTAACAAAAGTGGGTAGGTAAGTATTCCACACTAACAGGCAGAATCTGAACATGTAACTCAGTACCAAAACAGTAACTCAACACAACACACTGAACAATACCTTGCTCACTCTTTGCCAAATTCATCTATTACACCCCCAAACAACAGGAAGTAGACCTCAAACTCTTTGGAAGTAAAACAGAGACACTTTCCTCTCCAGACCATCCTGAACAGCTCCCCGTAATACATAACGTTGTTGCTTTTATCATTCCTAATTGACTTCCACATTTGCAAGCACTGAAGAATTGTTATGCCCTGTAGATGCCCTGAGCTACTCAGCAATTCCAGATGCCACTCAGGACTCCCTGAGCAGATCTGCAGGAAGAAAGTACAAACTGGACTTAAACATCACAGCAGCATACTTGCTACATCCAAGCCACCCTGCCCCGGAGAGATGCCAGGAAAGCTCCCTCTACCTGGGGTAGCCTCAGGATGGAAGAAGAATAAGATAAAAACTCCCCAAACACAGGAGAATGGGTGGGGCTGTGGTCCAACCTAAACCAGCAGGTCTGAGAAAGTTAGCAGAATTTATCTCTTTAACCTACTAAGAAGCCTCTGCCCTTCAATTAGGGAAAGCTAACTAGATTTTTTTTTTTTTACCTCTCACTCTTCACAACTCACTGTTCTTGTAGCTCATGCAGAGGGATGATTGAGACTCTTAGCTTAGAATAAGAAAGCTATCTAAGATGAAGCCCTTCCCCCTGCCCCCCAACCCATATCTTAAAATCTTTGCCCAAAGAAACTTCTTGGTTTTGGAATGTTGAATACTGCTTTATCAAGGGAGGGAGAAAAACCCACAAAAGTAAAATTTCACACACAAACAGCAAGTGCTCTATCCAAGTCACCCCAGCTTTGTACCCTGTTTCCTTCTCCTCTGTCCCTCACAGACTTTGTCTCCATCCCCCGCTGTGGAGCTTGGAGGCGCTCAGGGCATTCCTTACCTGACGATCACATACATGACCAGGAAGTTTCCGAAGAGGCCCACTACGCACACGATAGAGTAGAGGGCCATGATGGTTATGGCTGTGACCATGGAAGGACTGCCGGCCGAAGGGCACAGGCTGTCGCTCCCGCCAAGCCCGGTGCGGTTCAGACCGCATGGGTCCGACTGGTTGCCCTCTACATGGGACAAGTTGAGCCAGGAGGCAGGTGCTGGGGAGCAACTCGGAGCCAAGGGGTCAGAACAGTCGCTGGTGTTCCCCGGGCCGGTGCGGCTGTCCATGGTGCTGAAGGCCTGCCGCGGACTCGATGTGGACAGTAACTGAGAGCACCAAGACTTTTTTGGGTTTCGCGATCCCCAGCCTCCTCCTCTCCCAGCGGCCTCAGCTCCGTCCGTTTCTTACACAGACCAGCCCTGGCGGAACCAGAGAAGAGCGTCAGCCAGAAGGGAACGCCTGAGCGTCTGATATTCTCCTCTGCTTGGAGCCCCCTCCCACCTTAGAAGTACACGGAGCCGCATCCCTAGCACCCCAAAGCACTGCTCACTGGGTGGAAGGGAGGGAGCCTGTGAGGGATCCAGGGGCTGGAGAGGAGGGAGGAGAGAGAAGGCGTGGATTTTGCGCAAAGCAACTCTGAGAGTCAGTCTCCCCTCTCTCCATGCACTTCCGAGCAAAACGAGTGTAAAGTGGGGTGAGGTGGGGGGCAGAAACAGGGACGTCGTAGAGAAGGGTGGGAAGACAGGCAGTTAAGTTTCTTTGCAACAAGGATGCATAAGGTAGGGGGTTCGCATGCCTATTTTTTTTTCCAGCGCTGTTTTTCTAATCAGCCAGGGAAGTCATTGATCTGTTACATTCTCAATGACCCTTAAACCTCCACACTCTTCCCACTCAACTGCCCAATGCAATGATTTGGTGCTGGAGACCCACGATTTTTCTTCTTTCCCAAGATCCCCATGTCTGAAGCGAAAATATAACTCCAGTCTCTCAAATTTTCAGCCCTACAAATCTGTTTTGAAGCAACAAGGATCTTTCTCCGAAAAAGAAAAATTTTGTGGGGGAAGCCTATTTCTTGTGCCCCCATTCCCTCAATTTATCTTGGATTGGGTGGTCTCTTTGCATCTGAATTTGTCCCAGGGAAGAGGAAGCACGGACATGAGGGAGGAGGGGCAAAACCCAGTAAAATCCACTAACGACCACACTGCCTCTCCTAGCTCCTCTCATGGACCTGCTTAGAAAGATTTCTCCTTTAGCTTTTACCCTTCCTTCGGGGGGTGGGGGGGTGGGTGGGTTACAAGCTTCTGGGGAGCAGGTGACTGAACTAAGAAGAAATTGCACTGCTTTATTCTTTCTATGGTAGAGATTCCTAAAAAGACCCACATGGCTCCTTTGAGTGTGAAACAGCCCAAACAAGACCCATGAAGAACAAGGATGGGTTTAAAAAAATTTCATCTCATGTCTAAGTTCACAAGTGCTTCTGAAGGAATACAAGTTTAAATTCAACAGTAGTGTGTTTTCTTCTTCTTTTCATCCCTGTGCATGCACATGCTTGTGCATACCCATAGTTTTTAACTATAAACATTGAAATTAAATGGGCTTGACTGGTTGTGGGAAGTTTAACTGTATTCTCATAGACTGTGGAAAGCAAGCTTAGAAGGAACACGTAATTCCAATTTTACTTTTAGACATTCATCTTGAAAACAGATAACTCACAGCTAAACTATTAATCATAGACTTTGGGCCAATGTTCAGTATTATTTTTACCCTTTTCCATTAAAGGGTGTAATTTCAGCACTAATGTAGATAAGATTTCCCAGTGACTGCTAAAATACCTTTAAATGCATTATTCTAGGAATAAATGTGTCAATTCACATGATTGAGCTGAAATTTGTGTGCTCACTCATTCATCGGTCTTCTGAGGATGCACAGAACCATCCTCACTCCCTTCATGTGAAGACAAGTCAGCACATGGGGTGCTTCCTGCTGCCTTTGCTGTCAGACTGTTTTGTGATATAGTCCTGTCATCTCAAGCAGTGTGAGTCTGAATAGGTTACTTTACCTTATTGAGTCATAGTTTCCTTTTCAGAGTAAGAATCTGAACTTTATTCAATGATATGTTCTCATCTGAGATCAATATTTCCCTTCTATTTCTGTTTCTCATGCTTCACAGAGAGTAATTATCATCCTTCGATTACTCCAAATGAAACATTTCCTGAACACCATTTCATGTCTTCATCAATCAATTTGTCTGTCTTTCTGTCTGTCTGTCTGTCTCTTTTTCTCTCTCACCTATTTTCCTATCCATTTCCTGTATGTCCTATTTATTTAATATATACTTTGAGAAAATGCCGACAAAGAAAATTTATCTGCCAAATACAAGTGTTAAATTAGCCCTGAAAGGTCTATTGAAAAGTTAAATAGAAATACTAGTTTCATGTCACTCAACAGACTATGAAAAGACCCCATGTTCAACTTCTGTTATTTCTTAGCTTTCTCCATAATTGCTCATTTCCTTCCAGAGTGATCGAAGGTCTTCGTGGGAGCTTAAATCTTCCATAAACAGAGGCAGACTATTCAAAAATGACTCAGCAAACTGAAATCCTAAATATTTTATACAGCCTGGATTACCCATGAGACCTTTAATTTCTTAGAGCCATAGTATGTTGTCTGTGGGAATATCTGATTTTTCACTGATGTTTCTTGTTGAACCTTGGTTTTCCATTTGAATCAAGAATAATTTATTACCTACTGGTCTAGATTTAATTTAATATAATAAAATCCATATAAGGAAACACTTCTCATGAATTTGTTTGCTTTAAAGAAATGCATTTAGTTACCATATGGATGGATTCTGATATGAGCTAAAAGTTGCTCCTCTTTCTTGGATTTCATGTTTATTGGCTTTAGGTATTCATATGATGGCCATCAATGCACACTCATTTTAGCAGTTTAGTCATGATTGCTTTTGAGAGTGGCTGTTAATGGAACACATGATTAACAGCTGTTAATGAGAGCCAGAGTCATAAATACCATGTATGGACTAATTACAGTGGTTAGAAGCTCAGGAAAGGAAGACCATATAGGACTTCATCAGGAGAGCATGATATGTGTTTTGTAGTTTATCCTACTAATAAATGTGCACAGCTAATAAGAAGGCAGTTGAGTTGATACAATATTGTTTTAGAATACTGGAATTCTGCACGGCCCTTCAATAAAATGGAGTAAGATTCCTTGGTTTAGAGTTTAAAAAATAAAAAGCTAAATTAAAAATAAAAACTCTTCACCAATTTCAATGTGATAAACCTAAGGGGATATCTGAAGTAGAGCCAGTAAAATCCCTGAACTTTAAATTTTAAAAGTAGCCCCAAACCCAGACTCTACTGTCCGTTTTCTTGAGACTTACATTCTTTGCTGTTAATTGGTTCCTCTTATGTAAGATAAAAGAGTGAGAATCAACTACAGAGCAGTTTTCCAAGACTACATGTATTTAAAAGAGCATGCTCTTTGTCTTCAAGTTCAGTGTCAAGCAGAATTCTTGGAGATATTACAGGATATTTAATGGCACAAACTTATCCCTAAGAGTTTTTATCTTTCTAAGGGCCTGAATGTTCTAATAACAGTGTAACTGTCAGCCTTTCAAATAATTATTATGAATAACTAGCTTAAGTCATTAATTCATAGGACTACATACCTTTCTTCAAGTATAGAAGCTCAGTTTTTAAAAAATTTGAGTTTCATTTTTCAGTTTCTGCCTATAGAGGTTTACAGTCTCTTATTATTATTATTATTATTATTATTATTATTATTATTATTATTATTCTTATTATTATTATTATTATTATTATTATTATTATTATTATTGAACAGTACTTACTCTTTATCAGTCTCACTTCAAAACTATTGAATACTCAAAATACTTCTTTTTATGCAGGTGTTATGGCATGAATGTAAAATATACCAAACTGTCTCACGTGTTAGAACCCTTGGTCTTTGACTGTTGATGTTGTAGACCTTGGAGCAGGTGGAGCTTTGCTGAAGGAAATGGATCATTGTGGGGTGGTCCCTGGATTTATAGCCCAGCCCTACTCCTTGTCCACACACTGCTCTTTTATTGCAGTTACAACATGACCAACCACCTCACTCCTAATTACCATGCCTTCCCTGTCAGGTAGAACTGTATCCCCTCACACTGTAAGCCCAAATAAACCCTTCCTTTTAAAATTTGCATCTCACCAGGCAATTGGTTGCAGTAGTGAGAAAAGTACTTAATACAGTAGGTTGTGTTTATCATCATTCATCACATTGGACGTTGAAACTGAGAAATTTAGAAAACATTTCTTTATCAATTTAGTAAAACTAACAATACAAACATTACACAAGGACTATCTTCCCCAATTTTCCTCTAGGAACAGAAAAAAAAAGTAGAAAGAATGGTGCTATGCCCGGGCCATTACTTTAACTGTATGGTTTAGAAGTAGGTAATTAGGTTCTCATATCTGATTCTGTCTCAATCAGGTGCATCATGGGTGGTTGAAGTATATAAAGAAAACAAGAATGCTTGAATTTACTCAGATATGTGATTGGAAAGAGGAGAAAATTTTAGCAGTCTTTATAAATAATTGTGGCTATTTTCCTTTGGTACTAAACTCAGTTAGTACCATGTCTTCATTTCTTAATGGGAAGTTGGGTTATGGGAATTGAAGCCACACCAATGATTCTTAGCTCCTGTGGTACTTGCAGATTCTTCAGCTGGTCTCCTGTTTTAAGTGAATAATCTTAATCATGACTTTGCAATATTGCCCAAAGGTCATTTGGGACTATTAGTTCATGGCATCCTATCACTTTCCAAATGGCAAAGGACTCCATTCTACTAACAGCTATCCACACCATGTAGGAGAAATTCTCAATATTGTGATGCTGTTGAGCTCTTTTTAATTTTTTTTTATATTTCCAGTTTTGTTGGGAAGCCAGAACTTCCTCATTGATAATTAATGCTTTCAGTCCTATCAGAAGTGATAGACTCACCTTCTTCATTTTAAATAAAATATCAGCCAAACATATGGTTCTGAATGTAGACAGCTGTCTTTCAATCATTCTTCAAATAAAAGTAGTGTCCCATGGAAAAAAGTACATGGTTCCCATTAGAGCTGTGACAACCTCCCAAGGGCTTTTCCTTGTGAGTGGCAACCCTCTGCGGCTTGTGGTGACCGAAGTGTTCTGTGTGTACTTCCTATTTCCTCACACAGCATGTCAAGGGTCAGGATCTCTTTGTGTTTGTATGTGTGTAATGTTTATACGTATAGACTACGCACACATGATGTACGTGAAATGAGTGTGCAGAGGCCACAGGAGGATGTTGGGTGTCCTCTTCTAGTGCTCGATGATGCCTTACTCTCTTTTACTGAATCTGGAGCTATGCTCGAGGCCAGAGTCCCAGCAATCCTTCTATATCTGAGCTGCACAGTGCTGGGGTCACAATACTCCAATGGCCACACCCAGATTTTTTTATGTGAGTTCCAAGGATTTGCACTCAGGTCCTCGTGCTTGCACAAGTCCTTCCACTTGCTGAGCCATCTCCTCAGCCTCCAGTGGTTGAAGTTTTATAAACTTAGCTTTT